CGGCGCTTCAAGCAGCCCAGCACCTCTGCATTCACAGTCAGAAACCATGATTTTAATGTCCCCTCAGCAGCAGAACTTTCAGCTTAGTAGCTGGCAAGATAGACTCCTTCTGTGTTAATGTTGTTTGGGTTTGGTTTGGGTTGGGTTTAGAGGCCTTTGTTGGTTCGTTGGTTGGTTGGTTGGTTTTGTTTTCCCAGTCATGGTTTTTTTTTTATTATTATTATCACTTGGGGTTTTTTGTTGTGGGTTTTTGTCTTTTTGGCTTTGGGGGGATTTTGTTTGTTTCTTTGACCTCACATTGCTCTACACATAAAAACCTAATAAATAAACCTGCTTGCACTTCCCAGACACTCAAGTTTACATCTGGGACGTTAAAAATACATCGGGTGAGAATGAAGTGTTTGAACAAAGGAAAGATAGGTACAATTGGTGTGAAGGACTCGTAGACTCCCACTCCTGAGACAGTGCCTTGCAGGGAGAGGCACACAACACCCTCACTGAAGTATTCCAGGTAGACTAGATGGTGCATCAGCAGCATGGCGCTGTTGCCACTGGAAACATCTGTGTTTGAGACAGAGTGTGACATGGCCCACTCTGAAGTTGCACAGTCTCAATGGGAGCCGTTTTGCTCCTGTAAGACTTTAACAGCCCCACAACCTCACAATGTACAACAGGCCTTGTCCTGCCCCATGACAGCGCCAGAGCCACCTGTCCCCTCACGCCCAACAAAGCAAACTGCTCTCTCCTGAGACTCCACCGGCTCAGGGTTCACTGCTCTGTGTCCTTGCCCTAAGGTTCTGTCACTTGCACTGACTTCACTGACTTGGCAACAGCAAGTGCTTCCCCCCACCTCAGGCAACAGGTTGACTTCAGAGCCTTGGTTCCTGTGAGGAACTTCCTGCTGCCTGGCTGTTTTCACCTTGTCCCTTCCCATGCCCACAGCCTCCAGGCCTGCTGCCACAGACTCCATGCAGGAGAGACTAGAACTGAAAACTACCCCCATCTCAGCCACTAGCTTCGTTCTGGAAATGCTGAATGTGCGGTGCTATATTAGTCCAAGTGCCCAGTAATCTACACTTTAAAAAAAAAAATGTGGTAGTGACAGGAGTTCCTTTCAGTCTGTGGAGGACTTCAGCTACCTCTTTTCGTTGCTCTGAGAAAGTCACTTAACTCCATGACGGCTTCCCCTTTTTATCATTTGTGGAGAAAGAAGAGCACAGTTGCCCTTTCAAGTAATCACTTTGGTGTGGAAACCCTGTCCTGGGTGTGTGTGCGTGTATGCGTGTCTGCATGCGCACACGCCTGAATGTATGTAGGTGCACCACACGCGTGCAGGAGCACTCAGAGGTCAGAAGAGGGGGTCCAGATCCCCCTGGAACTGGAGTTACAGACCATTGTGAGCAGCTACCTGGATGCCAAGAGCCAAACCCAGGTCCTCTGAAAGATCGAGAAGGGTTCTTGAGCACTGAGCCATATTCCAGGCCCCATGCCTGTTTTTTTGTTTGTTTGTTTGTTTGTTTGTTTGGTTTGTTTTGTTTGCTTTTGTTTTACTTATTTTTACTGTCCTTGGTGTGGGCCACTCAATGATAACCAACCGGCATAAACTTTGAGGTACTCAGGATACAGCCCAAGGCGTTTGGAACCTTGTTAAAGTTCCATTGGATTCCTAGGGTGACAATGAGAGAAACCAGACTCGTGTCAAGATGTCTCGGGCCTCAATGCTGGCTTTCTCTGCTTCTCGGTGCAAAGGAGTTTCACATGGTAACCCTCTAGCATCCCGTGCAAGGAAGGGTCTGTTTTCTGAAGCATTCCAGCAGATCCAGTAGAAATCAATGACAGGCAGTTGGCCAACTCGGATTTGAAAACTTTCTCACACGGTCTAACTGTACGCAGAACGCCATTGCTCTCTCTGGAGCTTCCTGGCGACTGTTTAACCCTACCCCCACCCCCACTTTGCCTACTGGAAAAATAGCCCCAGTATATCAAAGGTCTTCCCAGATCTCAGCCAACACGGCAAGAGCTCGGCCAACATCGTACAGGGCATCCCGTGGGGAACCCTAGGAGGCAGATGGTCCCCACACTACAGGTGACCACCTCCTCACCTGTTTCCCAGTCCTGAGTTTCAAGGGGCAGCCTCATCTGCTGCCCTCCAGGACTTGGAACTCCCCCTGCTTCCCCGACACCAAAGCCCCTCCACCTCACTTTAGATAGGATGCAGCCGAAAATGACCCCGCATTGGGGAGCAGAGTTTCTGTTTGCTCTTCCGTGTTTGTGCAAAGACTTCAGACTAGAGTCCCTGTCCATAGTTTCCCATCTGGATCCTTTGTCCTCGGGAAGGCGAGTTACCCATCCCGGCACAACAGCTGGTGGGGTCCTAAGACCGCCCATACACCATCCACTTTTGGATGAACTTTTAAAGCTCTTCTCTGGCTCTTCTCAAATGTCAAGAACAAAACCATACATAGTAACTATGATTGTCATCAGTTTTGGTTTTTTTGGGTTTTTTTTTTTGTTGTTTTTTTGTTTTGTTTTTTTTTTACAAGAAAAAGCCTTTTCTTAAAGGAATATCACTCCTCTCTGAGGATGACCAGTCACACTTTGATACTGGGCACCCTAAAAAGGTTGGCAAGTGTGATGGACTGTGACTTTAGAAAGACACACGGGATGCTCAATCCCTCTCCTCTGAGCTCATATACACCACTGCAATGTCACTGTTTCCTTGACTGATCTGCTCCAGGGTCAGACACCCCCCCAAAAAAAAAACCCAAAAACTCTGTAGGGTGCTAAAGATGTCAGCAGTGACTACAACGTGAGAGCTAAGCAGCCCTGGAGGGAGGTCTGAGTTCCTGCCCCGCACCCTCCATATCCTATCCCATCTTGTTGTTGTCTTGGTGACCTCGTGAAGTAAGATCATTTCACAGTTGAGGAAGCAGCTACAGGAAGGGCCAAGGTCAGGCGGCTGAGACAGAGCTGAACTGAGCTTTCCTTCCTGGTCTGGTGAACTGCAAAGTTCACGTCCTGCCACGCCGCCTCACTCCTGGCTAGCCATGTTGCTAGTGAGCTGCAAAGCCCACATCCTGCCATGCTTGTGGCTAGTGTGGCTAGCAGTGGTACTAGGTGGCCGGCACACTTGACACTTCCTTCTGGTCTCATCTCTCTCATGCTCTCGGCTTGAAAAGTGAAAAATCAGCACTCCCCCATCTCCCCGCTGTGGTGTTGTAGGGCTTCTGGTAATTTCCTTAACCCTCAGCAAATAATCCAACCTTTTGGATGCATCCCTAAGCGGCCAAGCAGCCACATGGCGTGCCTACATGCGTACATGTGTGTGGGTGTGCACACGTGTACGCAGATGCATGAGCACAAGTGTGTGCATACCTGTGGAGGGGGGTGGTGGAAATGTCTGCAATCATATTTGTCTTATTCTTTGAGGCAGGGTCTCTCAGTCAAATCCAGAGCTCCCCGACACGGCTCTTCCTGCTAGCCATCTTACTCTGGGGATCCCTGATCTCTGCTTCCTAAGTGCTGGGATTGCAGTCAAGCCACTACACCCATGTGGCACTTTCTTGGGTTCTTTGTTTTTTGTGGCGAGCACTTTAGCCACTGAGCCATCGTCCCAGCCCTCAAAGAAAGCTTCTTGAGAGCGAGTGGAAATTCTGGGTAACTGGGGAGGGAGGAATATTTTCCTTCCAAAGCACTCAACTGAACAATTCAGAACCAACACAGTTGCCCTTCTTGCCAGCAGTTCTGTGCATATTTACAGTCTAATTGGACTTGTTTAAGGCATGCTATAGTCTTATAAAGATTTCTCTCTGGCACTGTTTGCCCCGACGAGGAATACAGTGCGTGTTTTAAATGATAGCGTTAATCAGGGCTGCGGCTTCTGCGTGTCTGTTTAGATAAGATGGTTTGGGTTTCGTGTTAAAAGTCCACGAAATCAGATACGGCACAGCTACACTTAGTTTCCAGTGCTTCATGGAGGCCCCTTTAAAATATTCAAGACTCTGGTCTCCCGGTGTTTGTGTCTTTGCCTGAGCTTATGGCCGATAACAAGAGGAAAGTAAGAAACAATGAGTGCATCTGTTAGAGTCTTTTGAGTTTGCCTGGCCCATCCGGGAACATTCCAGATGATTTCAGGGTGACAAACAGCCTCTTCTACCACAGACAGGCCAGGAGAAGGTTGGCTGAGGTCAAGACAAGATAAAAATGAGTGAATACCTTGAAGTGCAAATGTAAATAACTTTAAAGATAGAGTCATCATTGGCTTGATTTTTTTTTCTCTCCTGCCTCAAGCTCACTGATCTTGCCTTTGCTTAAAATGCTGGTGCCTTACTCGTCGTGGGTTGGTTTTCAATTTTCGAATAAGTAGTATTTATCTAGATGGCTGAGTATTTTGGTGCTTCCTTGCCTTTCGTCCCCAACCCAGGTGACGTGCACTCTTCTCCAGCCCTCAGCCTTGACAGAGGCTTTACAAATGGACACAGGAATGCTACCCAAAGCATAGCCTCTGTGTGTTAGTACCAAGGGGCCTAGGAAAGTGATCACAGGTTGTGCCCTAAAGACACAAGGAACAGACTGTCGCTGTGGCCTTAGACTAAGTCCCCAATTCTGTGAACCTAGATGCAGGCGCTCGCAGGGAAGCTATACGAGAGTGTTAGCGCTCGCGATTGGGTGGCCATCGGTGTGGTACTTGCTCAAGTGTTAGAGATTTGGCATGAGATCAACCAGCCAGTGTCGGCCCATCCTTGGATGGTCATGAAGCAGATGGCCCACAGCCACACACAGGTGACCACTCCTCAGGAACGGTAGTGTTTTAGTTGACCAAACTTCAACAGAAGGGGCAATGAGAGTGAGAACTTCAGATGAATGGGCGCTGGGCAGCAAAGCACACATAGTATGTGGCTCCAGTTGCACAAAATTCTAGAAAATATAGACTGCTTGCCTGGAGATGATGGGTCGGTTCTGTCTTTTACGGCTGAGACAAACAAGCTGACAAAAGCATCTCAAGGAAGGAAGAGTTTATTTGGCTTGCAGATCATGAAGGGATGCAACCCGCTGCGGTGGAGCATCATGGCAAACGTGGGAGTATCAGGCAGCTGCTCACACTGTGTCTACAGTCAGGAAGCAGAAAGCAAACAGAAAGTAGGGCCTAGCTATAGGAACTTCAAATCCCTACCCCCAGAGACCCGCTTCCTCCCCTGAGGCTCCATCTCCTTCCAAAACAGCACTACCGGCTGGGAACCAAGTAATCAAAGACAAGAGCCTCTGAGGCACATTTCATATTCAATCCATAAGGCCGGGTTACCCAACTATACGAGGGAATTCAGGAGTGATGGAAATGTCTTTAATTGTGATCATAGTTTTAGGGGGAATGGAGATGTCAGAACTATTAAATGAAATACGCTACAGCTGAATATTGAAAGTTTAAAGTATTTTGATTTTATCTCCATAAAGTTGAAGATGGGAAAGTGTAGAATTGGAGCCTCAGTAACTGAGAACAGAAAACGGAGTTTACAGACTCTCAATGCTAGTGCTAGACCACCATCCTCCTGACACACAAAGCCAGAGGGAGAGCCCCCTGCCCAGTGGCTTGCTGTCTGATCACAGGGACCATGTTTAATCTGTGTTTGTGTTCATCTCATCCCAAAGGTTCATTTCTCTGTACACCCTTGACAGTGAGGTAGAGAACACTCGGTTCCATGAGAGGGTTCATCTTCCACAGCTGTCTGCTCAGGCTGTAGAGTATGTAGCAGAAACCTCTGGAGTATGTGTGTGACCAGTGTGGTCTAACCCGCTGCCCTGTCTGGGAACTGGGGTGCAGAGCTGAGGAATGGGGTGTACCATTGCTTGTCTTTCTGTCTTCAGTCTCATCCTCTCTTCCCAGCTTTATCTTGCTCTAGACAAAGAAGCCACGGCATCAGAACTTGCCTTTCCTCACTGTTGTCCTTGAATTTCAGTGTTCTCATGAATATTCTTCAATAGAAGATTTGTATAGATATGAATGATTTTCCAATTAAAAGGTCACTTCTTCACTGGGTATCATTTTCCTGAATTTTGTTAGAAGAAATTTTATAACACTTTTCTCTCTCTCTCTCTCTCTCTCTCTCTCTCTCTCTCTCTCTCTCTGTGTGTGTGTGTGTGTGTGTGTGTGTGTGTGTTCATGTACAAGCTAATAGTAAGAGTATTAAGCAAAACAATTGAAAATAGATCGTTACCATAATATATGTATCCAAGATAATAAAATACATGAGGCTAAATACTTACAGGCAGTTTCAAAAATTGCATGTATGGCCAAGTATGCATTCAGAGCTTGAACACACAGCTGTGAGGTTGCTGTGGAGCCTGGCCATCTCAGTCTTCACACCCTGTCTTCTGGACCTTCATCTGCTGTTCCAGGCAAACCTTCCTCCTCTGAAATAGAGAAACTTGTGCTAGAACCAAGAGAAAGTGGTGTCAACAGAGATTCTCTATGGCTGGCCAAGCCCTGTCCCCCCATGGATCAGAAGCACTCAGTGAGATAGAGATAATGCTTCCTATGCCACTGGGGCTCACGTGGTCACGGTGCCAGTCACGTGGCCGGAGAAGCTGTCACCTGGTAACTTGTCCAGGAAAGCATAGCTAGACGCAAGAGTGTCACACTGAGGCTGCTGGCCTAGGCAAAGGGAACAGTGACTGCCTTCTTCTGACTTTTTTTTTCTCCTTTACTAACTGCAAGCTTCACAAATTGAGTCAAATTCGCAACCTTGACCTTTCAATATAGAGGAAGAGGAATTAAAAGCAAAAAGCATAAACAGCCATCAGGGTGTGTTGCTTCTGTGGCGAGATCTTCTGGTGAGGAGCTAGATGCCAGGCCACAGTGCTTTTCCTTTCAGATTAGGTGGGTCAGAGGCAGGAGACTGTTGCGTAACTCTGTGGTCAGTCCTTCTAGAACCTGCTTCCAGAAACTCCAGACCAAAAGGCAGAGTTGTGAGCCAAAACGAACCTCAGTCTTACTCTCATTGGCTGGAGCTCTAAGGTCTTCTTCTGGGTGGGGTCTGAGCGAGTCTCCATATTTGTCCAGTTGGCCCTGTCTGCTCCAGAGCACGTTCTGGGTTATTCTTCTTAGGAAGTTTAATAACCCTGCCAGCTCCTAACACCAGCCACCCGTGACAAAACATCTCTACCTTGAGCCTGCAGCTGTACTCCTTTTCCCAGACTTCTGCCCCAGACCAGAAAACTGTGCAAAGGACACAGCTCTAGGCTGCAGGAAGATGAATGAAAAAAAGAGAAAATAGTGAATTGTCTTTCAAGTTTATCCTACTGCTTCAGACACTCATTAAGTTGGGGTGTGTGTGTGTGTATGTGTGTGTGTGTGTGTGTGTGTGTGTTTCTAAAAAGCAAGATGATTTTTGTAATCAAGGGCATCCTTGAGTCTTAATCTAGCTAGAATCTCCTAGAATTAATCCAAAAAGCACCCTGCTCCCTTTCTTTACATTTCTTTGGCTTCTGGAGATAATCTCATTCCCGGAGAAGAAAAAAACAATGTTCCTCTGCAGTTAGGAAAACAGTCAATGGATTTTTAAAACAAATTCAAACAATTTTTAAGAAAGCATATTAACTGGTTAACCTCTGCCCGTGTCCCCAAGACATCACGTGGCGGCCTTCCAGGAGCAACAGTCTGAAGAACCGTGATGGCTCACACTCTGTTTTCATTCCTGACCTCAACTCCAGCCAATCCCCTGCCCGACTTCATGTAGCCTAGTTTCATTTCTTTTAGATTCGAAGTCTGCAGACATCTGTGTCCCCTTAGCCTTGTACGCTTGGATACCTCACAGGCCTTTTAATGGGATAAGAGCAACAGAGGGAACATGGGGGGAGAAAAACAAAGTCCTAAAGATGAGTTAGCTCCTGGTACTTGCGGGCAGTTTGCTGCATCCTTTATAGCAGTTCCTCGGGGACCACGCTGAGCAAAAGTGAGACGTCTTAGGTACTCTCTCCTGCCACTTGGTCCCATCCTGGATCTGGTCATGCAAACCCTGTTGGCACGACCTTCTGCCTGCACCTGTCTCTCCTCCCAAGATCAAGCAAGGGTACCACCACTCCTCTTAGGTGCTGTCTCTTCTCTGGTCCCCTGCTTCTGCTGGCTTTTCCCCTCCCTGTCTCCTGTCCCTCGGCCACTCTGTCACCAGTTTACTCAGATTGCATCACGACAGTAACATCAGCTTATAAAACTAAAAATTGCGCCGTTCCACTCAGGGGCACCACTCGGGAGCACCACTCAGGAGCACCTCTCGGGAGCACCACTCGGGAGCCTGCCGGCTCACCGAAAGCCAAAGCCGCACTCCTCTGAGAATCCTCCCACCTCAGCCTCTTTACGGTTCTACGTCTTCCTTCCTCCTCCTCCCCACTGTGCTCCAGCAATGGGCCTCTTCCCTCAGGGAGGCATCCTAGGCATGCCTGCCTCTGGGCCTCACCTTTGCTAAAAGTCACTAGTTATGGCTTTGAATTCTTTCCCCACACACAGCTGGCATGTCTGCTCCCTCCCTCCCTTCAGTCATTCCCTGAAATGTCAGCTTCAGAGAGGATCTCCCCAGAGAACCTTAGTTCTCTCCCCTGATACGGCTGTCCTTTTCCTCTGTTCCACGTTCTGGTTGGCTCTTGACACAGCATCACCAGCTCTGTGGGTTCCTCTTTTGTCTGTTGTCTCCATCTTCCACTGGGCAGCCACGAAAAAGTATAGCCAAGGCATGGACAGTTGTCCCCAGGGTCTCCAAGACAGCCTTGCATGTCATGGGCTGTCACTGTTCTCTATGAACGGAATGGCTAGATGAATGTAAACTGAGACAGGATGAGGGACAAAGCAAGCCCTGGTGACCTTCAGACTCCAGAGAATTGCTGAGAAGTCTGGGCTGAAATGTTTCTTTCCAATCAAGCTCAGAAAAGGTGTCTAGTTGACAGTTCGGCCTCATAAGAGTCTTGGGCATTAATCCCAGAGCCTCCCCACCCAGCAGCACTGCAAGAGGCATGCAGGGTTTCCTGGATCTACGGCTGGCCTCGTCGCTTGGCACAGAAAGCAGGCTTCTCTGGCATTTCAGCTTTGAGAAAAACCAAAGAGGATCGAAGCGCCAATGTTGGGAGTCAGGAGAGTTTTTATGTCTACCAGTCAGGCATTCAATGAGACCTTTTGTTTGTTTCAATAAGTCAATGGGACGCCACTCAGTTTTGCTCTCATTCTGCTTCTCCTGGTAATGACGGCTTGAAATGGAAGACCCTAACTGCGTAGTGTGGGGGGCAAACGGCCTAGGGCTGCCAGATGACAGCTGTGTTGGTTGCTTTCCTATCGCAGCCACAGAATACCTGACAGGAGCAACGAAACAGAGCAAGGGTCCGTCTGGGCTCACAGTCTAGAAACACAGTCGGTCTCAGCTCTATGTAAGAAGCAGGTCTGTGGTTCAGCCTGTGCGACCAGGATAACCACAGTCAGAGAAAAACAAAACGTTGGTGCTCCGCTCCATATCTCAGGCTCATCCAGATTGAGGCCTCAACTGTCATTTATATTCAGGGTAGGTCTTCTTTCCTCAGATAAACCTTCTCAGAAACCTGCTCTCACAGACCCATGCAAAGGTGTCTATCCTACGCGATTCTAAATTAGTGATCAAGGTCAGCCATGGTAACTGTGGAATAACAGTAACAGCCCACCACGTTGGTTGGTAAGGCCACTCACCGCTGTGGCATCTGTGCTAGGGTGGAGGGACCAGCCATTGTGAATGCTCTACTGTCATCTGCTGTCTCTGGTGGCTCTGGCGGGCTGTCGTGGCTACCTGCCCACTCTTAGGAGCACGGTTTGCTTTGGCCAGATTTCTGTGGGGTGGCGGGAGCTGGGTCTAGCCTGTCACTTCCTGGTGAAACTGCGTCTACAACAGTCACGCATGCTAATCACTCCCAAATCTGGATATATTTCAGGATGTTTTGACAGTTTCCCCCACATAACATCTGTACTTAAAGAAGCCTCTCTACTCTTGGTAAAGTATTGGCTTGATTACTCCGCTCACGTCCGGGGCCCTGCATGGTTCTTCTGCCCTGCTCTCCCCAGAACTCCCAACCAGGCACCCCCACCTCCCACCCCCACGGGCCTGGCCTGTCCATCCTCCATGAGTTCGAGCTTCCCCAGCCATCCATCTCCGGCCCAGTTTTGTGCACCATCTCTGACAACTTCCTCTACATCTCATACACCCAGGCTGCTCCCCTACTAAAACCCGGAGCCCCGCGCTCCGACCCTCTGCCCTGCTCCCAGCTGTCCTGTGCTGTCTCAATGTGTCTGTGTGCATCACACTGTCGGAGTCCGGTGCATGAGACGTGTGTGGTCGGTGTGAATGGTTTCGAAATGTTCCTGGGAAGAACCTACCTCAGTGATCAGCAGGGAGAGGGAACTCGAAGGCCCACGGCTGGAGGTCAGGAACTCCTTGCTTGAAACTGGGCAAGAAGTGGATGCCAGGACACTGGCAAAGAAAGCCTGTTTGGATAGGACTACTGTATAAAGCTCATGGGGGTCTCCCCTAGAAAAGTTAAAGTAGGTGTAGGTGATGGTGGTTTATAAAGTAGTAGGGTCTGAACACATAATGAAAGCCTTAAGAGAAGATATGGGTAATTAAAAGCAGGCAATCCCATACAGAACTTGGGGGAATATTGCACAGGCTTCTTCTAAGCTTCAATGTTAGTCTTGCTTGAGATCCACCCTGAGCTAAGCACCCTGGAGAAGGGCATGCAGCCACCTACTCGCTACATTCTAAAGGCCAGATAGAATACTTTTTGTTTGTTTGTTTGTTTGTTTGTTTTTTGCATTGCCTGTCAACGAGGTCTATTGTGAGGTTTTTAGGTAAAAGGTGACTTCAGGGTTCCTTCTTTACTTAAAGAGATAAGGTGAAGAAACCTAGGTCCACAGGCCCTTCAGCGTGACACCCGTGGTGAGGCCAAGGGGCCCAGCAGAGATGAGGAGCCCTCTGTAGTAGGAAAGAGTTTAGGAATGGTATTCCTAGCAATCAGTGCCTTTAAACTTCTGGTAGCTTCTCCACGCTCTTCCCACCAATAGCCTGTAGTTGTAAAAGCAACCTTGGAGACCCCTGCTATTTGGTGTTGAGTCTGGCTCCAGACAAGGTATGTGGAACGGACGGCCTTTCTCGGATTTCTTTAATGTTCCAACAAAGATTAGCCCTGGCCTGGCACGAACACTTCACATTGGCATCTCTAACAATCCTTCACATGCTGTCTTTGGCCGGCGTCTCCCCCGAAAGATAACAGGGAAAGTATGCCTCTGGGGTTTATTTAATACACAACAAAGGAAAACAGACACAGCTAAGGTTAACCTGGGCCCTTACAGTCTTGGGTGACTTGACCCCTCTCCCACCCCTGCCTCTCTCTTCTGATGCCGGACATACCCAATTGCTCTACCATTGATTTCAGACCAATTTTAACCAATCAAAATATATTACTTTGTAGACCTGACTTGATATACACCCAAGTGAAATAAACTGATAATTCTCCCTTAGGAATAAGCAATCATTTTTTTTCTTAAAAAAAAAATTGCACTAGCTGATTCTATGTGCTAATGAACAAAAGGGCGCATTCTTAGCCCCTGTGTGTTTTTGACTTTGTCTAATAAGCCCGTTTATCCCAGTCATAATTTTTTAAATTAAAAATCAATATGATATGCATCCCAACCTTCCTCCTGTGCCCCTTCTCACTCTTGAAATTCTAAGGTTTAAAGTCCCATCCACCCAGGGCTTGGTCTCTGAATGCTTTGGGTTTCTACCTCAGGAAACTGTAGAATTCCATTTAAATCTGACCATTCTTTTCACAACTGAAATGGAGCCTGAGGTCACTTCTAGACAACTCTTACTGCCAAGCCTGTGGAGACATCCTCCTCACATTGTCCACAATTATTTTTAAACCCACTCTGCAAAATGAAACAAAACAAAACAAAACAGTAACAGAGCCATGGAAACAGAACTTCTAGAAGCTGCTCTCCCCTGTTTCTCTTCCCTGGGAGTGGCATTTTTAAATACGGGTTTATGTCAGACACTAAACAGTCCCCACACAAGAATGCCTATCTCCAAACTCCTTGGAATCCTTCCCCAAACTGGAGATATTCTTAGCTGCGAGTCTCCTGTCTTGAACTAGGTATAAAGAAAGGCTGGAGTCTAAAAGGAATAGATGGAATTCTCTAAATAGTTGCTTGATTTTTTTTTGAAATGTTCAAATATT